TATGTATATATAATATATATATATATATATATATATATATACATAATATATTATATATATAATATATATTAATATATATTATATATATATATAATTATATAATCATATATATATATTATATATATAATATATATATATATATATATATTATATATATTATAATTTTATTATATATTAATATATATATATATATTATATATAATATAATATATAAATAATATATATTATATATAAATGACTGAATAGATAAATAGATAAATAAATCAAATATATATATTATTATATTAAATACCTTACATATTAAATACCTATATAATAATATATATATACAATATATTATTTTTAGTATATTACTACTTATTATATTATACATATAATATTATATTATATAAATATACATCATACACACGCACACAAACATCAATGTCATAACACATACTGTTAATGGCACCTCTGTGTTTGTATGCGCTGCGTGGGTGTGTGTGCATTATTATACATATTAAGGCATATATTATATAACATGCATATATATGCATATATATCTACATATATCTATCTAGCTAGCTAGCTATATACACACACACATGAAAATCTGTATGTATATTACGGGAAACGGGCCCCCGAGGGAGCGAGCCCCCAGCGCGGGCCGTGGGCGCCACATGATCGTCCACTCCGGCCAATATTCGCCGGTTTTAATTGGCCCCAACGAGCCCCGGACCCTCCAGTACCGCCGCCATTATTTCAGAGATGTTTATCGTCGTTTTAGGATTGCTCTTAAAAGGCCTCCGCGCCAGCTGGGCTTCGTCCGTCCAGCTGGTCGCCGCTCGTAAAGAGGTAAGGATTCCTCCCTCCCGCTCGCCTCTCCCTGCCTCCCTGCCTTCCTCCTCTTTATCCTTTCCACTCCCTTCCTCCCTCTCTCCGTTCCCTTCCTCCTGCCTCCTCCTCCTGATTTTCACCACCCCTTCCCCTCCCTCGCGCCTCTCCCTTCCTCCCTGCCTCCCTTCCCCCCCCCCGCACTTTTCCCTTCTCCCTGCCTCCTTCTCCTCTTTCCCTTCTTCCCTGCCTGCCTCCTTCTTCCTTCCTTTCCACACTCCCTCCCTCCTTGCCCTTCATACATTCCCTCCTCTCCTTTCCACCCTCCCTTCCTCCTCCCTTCTTCCCCTCCCTCTCTTCCTCCCTCCCCGTAACCCTCGTCATTATCCGGCCTTATCTACCCATCTGCCTATTCATAGCAGTTTATTTCCACGCAAAATTCTGCATTGATTGTAGGCATTTCACACCACACGCCCGCACGCCCCCAAACGAACACATACGAGGAGAGAGAGAGAAAGAGAGAGAGAGAGAGAGAGAGAGAGAAGAGAGAGAGACAGAATGAGAGAGAAAGAGAGAGAGCAGAGAGATTGAGAGAGATTGAAGATAGAGAGATAGACACAGAGAGAAGAGAGAGAGAGAGAGAGAAATAAAGACACAAGACACAAAATGAAACCCAACCAAACAAAACAAAAACCGTTGAAATACCAATCTAACCACCACCCCCTTCCCCCCTATTCCCCCTCCTCAATCCCCTCCGCCCACCTCCCCAATCCGCCCTCAACTCCCCCCCCCCCCCCCTCCTCCCTCGCTCCCCTCCCGCCTTCCTTATGACCAGTGATAGACGGCACACGCCTATCAAACAAAGCAGCTTGTGTCAACACTGGCGGCGGTGGGCGGCCGGGTGGAGTGGGGCAGGGGGGGAACCTAAATGACCCCAGAAAAAGAGGAAGAGAACCCGAGGGCCGGGGGAGGGAGGAAGGGAGGAGGGAGGGACGAAGAACGAGAGGAGGAGGGAGAGAGGGAGGAGGGAGGGGAGGGGAGACCAGGGGTAGGAATTAGTAGTAGGAGTGGTGAGGAGCAACACCAAGACCCGAGGCGGAGGAGAAGAGGGAGGAGAGGCAGGAGGGGGTAAGAGTAGGGGGGGGGAGGGAGGGTTGGATAGTAGAAGTAGTTGTTAGAAAAAGGAGGGGGGAGGTCTAGAGAGAGAGAGGAGGAAAAATAAAGAGAGGAACGAAGGAAAGTAGGGAAGAACGAATGGATAAGGTAAAGAAAAAAAAAAAAAAAAAACAGAAGACCAGAGAAGAGAAAGGGGGAGAGGTGGAGAAGAGTAAGAAAAGCCAAAAATAAATAAATTTACCTCCATTAAAAAAATATCTATATATATATTATATTATAATATTAATATATATATCTCCATACATCCTCGCACTATATATTATTTATTTTTATATATTATCTTATTATAAATAAAAAAAAATAAATAAAATCCCCATTTACCCTATCATCCTTATCAATTTCATCATAACTTCAAATAAATAAATAAATAAAAAAATTAAAATAAAACCAATATAACATCCCTCTACAAATCCACAAAAATTCATAAGCTACACAATTTACACAATTCTACTGCAAATACTAAACTCATAACTAAAAACTAACCTGACACCTAACAATCGGAAAAGGATAACATAAACATAGAAAAAATACAAAAACACACACACATACATATAAACCAAGAGAGACAGGGCAACTGCACCGTAGGCTCTCTAGAAAGCCAGCAGTAACACAAAAACAACTACTAATGCAGCTTGGACCATCAAGGAAGCGACACATCACTGACGTACGACGTACTACCCGTCGATCCATTCGGTAAAGCCCAATCAGGCCTCTCTTCATTGCTCCAACGACTCTCTTGGCTCTGCGGTTAGGTCGATGGCGATGCAAGGGGCATTGCGCTCTCCGATTCAATGGCATTGCTCGAGGTGGGGGGTAAGTTTGGGCGGAGTGCGAGGGAACCTCTCTTTTCTCTCTGGCGGGGTGAGGAGGCCCCGCGCTTAATGGGGGAAGGAGAGGATGGAAGGAAGGAGAAGGAGGAGAAAGTGATCCTCTCTGTCTGGGAAAATTACTCTGCAACCCGTATAGGATTGCTCATGAGGAGAAGAGATCTGGAGGAAAATTGAAATTAAAAAGAAACGAGAGGGAGAGGAAAGAGGAGAGGGAAAAAACTCGTCCAATCCGAAAAATAGAGAGATCGTATGGAGAGAAATGAGAAAGATCAAGAGATTGTAAGTAGACGTACTTCAAGTCACCCATGATAAGCGATACATGCCTCAATACGACAGATAAGTAGCCCACTACGACCCCGGACTCAAGGATGTACTATATACATGTCTCAGTCTCATGCTCGATACACATAGAAGAAACCCCAGTGTGATCAATCCAGGACCATAAGCACCCTTCTGACGTAAGACACAGCATATGTCCTAGCCGATTACACCAAAAAAAAAAAGCTCACAATTCCTTCGGCGCGCCTCGGGCAGTGCTGTTTGCAGTGCGGCATAAGTAAATTTGACAAAGAGTACGACGGAAATATGGAGGAAGAGAAAGAGCGAGATGGACCGATACTCGGGTAGCATTCGCAGGGGAGGAGGTCAGAGGGTGTCGATATGGCAATGGTCTAGGCGGGACAGTAATTAAGATAGCGGCGAGAGAGGAGAGGAGGGGCATGTCGTGCACGTGAGGCGATCACACTGAGAGAGAGCACGCAATGCGCCGATGCACTCAAGGAGAATGACTGAGAGAGTTAATATGACTTAGATGCGGTAGTCGAGAGACTACTGAGATTCTTCGATCCGATCTCCCGATGTGAGAACGTACTGACTTCTCAGAGGGATGATGACAATCTCTCTCGACTGAGAGATCAGGGATGAGCGACTGAGTACGACGAGAGAGAGAGACGAGAGAGAGTGAGATGTGTTTTCTTCTCCTGTCGTTCCATTTCTGTGTCTGTGTGTGTGTGTGTCAATGTGTGTGTCTTCCGTCTAGATGTGTATGTGTGTTCTACTTTGTGTGTGTGTTCGCTCTGTGTTGCGTTGTGTCTCTTTCTTTTTTTCTTGTGCGCTCGCGTTTTCTTTTCTTTTCATTGTGTGTCCTGTGGTTGTGTTGTGTTGTGTTGTGTTGTGTGTGTGTGATGTGTGTGTGTGTGTAGTGTGTGTGTGTGTGTGTGTGTTAGGTGTGTAGTGCATTGCATTGTGTTGTGTTGCTTTCATGTGTCGTGTACATATCTGTGTGCCGTGTTTGTCATGCGTGCGCTTGTGATTGCGCGGTGTACAATTCTGCGTTGTGTGCGTGTTTGCGTATAGTGTCCATAAACGGTGTGCATGTAAGTTATCTACGCCTACAAGTTGTCCATTAAGAGAGTGCGGTGTGTACGATGTAATGTATGTGGGCCATCTCATTCATGCTGAACCTACTAGCATGGTAGGTTTCACGGCTGTGGAAAAGTCTTGTGAGCGGATGCCTACATGAGATGCAAAAGCGCTCTAAAGCGCTGGATCTAGGTTTTGCTTGGCGTATAGGCATGCCGATCTCTCTGCTCCTATCCTTCTTTTCTCAATGTTGTCTTCTTCTGTCTCTTCTCTATCTCTCTCTCTCATCGCTTTTTTCGCTTTTCGCTTTCTCTTTCTTTCTTTCTCTCTCTCTCTCTCTCTCTCGTATCTCTCTCTCTATCTTTCACTCTATTCTATCTCTATCTCGCTTTTCTCGTTTCTTTTCTTTCTCTCTCTCTCTCTCTNAATAGATGGGGTATAGGGAAATGGGTAATAATGGGGTGTAGGGAAATGTGGGTAATAGAGGAGTAGAGGGAAATGGGTAATAGATGGAGTATAGGGGAAATGGGTAATAAATGGGGTATAGGGGAAATGGTAATAAATGGGGTATAGGGAAATGGGTAATAAATGGGGTATATGGAAATGGGTAATAGATGGAGTAGAGGGAAATGGGTAATAGATGGAGTATAGGGAAATGGGTAATAAATGGGTATAGGGGAAATGGTAATAAAGGGGTATAGGGGAAATGGGTAATAAATGGGGTATATGGAAATGGTAATAGATGGAGTAGAGGGAAATGGGTAATAGAATGGGGTAGAGGGAAATGGGTAATAATGGGTATAGGGGAAATGGGTAAATATGGGTATTGGGGAATGGGTATTAGATGGGGTATAGGTTAATGGTAAAGATAGGTATAGGGAAATGGGTATAAATGGGGTATGGAGGGAAAGAGTATTCGAAAGGACGGTAGGAGAACAGACACTGAAAGATGTACTAAATAAGAAGGTTATATTAGAGGGGGGTAAGAAAACAGCAATGAAAGGGGTATTTGAAAAAAACGAGAGTTATAAGATTTATCAGAGATTAGAAAGCTTCTTTGAAAATAACTATAACATAATGGTAGAAAAAGTCGGTATTAGAAGTATTAGAATGCGATATAACGTGAGAAAACGTTCGGCTAGACAGTAGTAATTAGAAACGTAGTAATTACTAGGTCACTGTGCTCTGGAAACGGAACAGACTCTCGAACACTCGAAACCAAAATACCACAGCTTAAAGCACTACATTATCTTATATAAATTAATCGAAATACTTTTTTCTGCACACCTTATTTCGATCACGTTTTTCTAACACATAATCTCACCTCCGTTACTTTCCTTTCCCTCCAGGATCGGCGGAACTTCGGTGACCTTGGAGCGAGGTCAACCAGTGATCATTCCCGTTTGGAACATCCACCGTGACCCCGCTACTGGCCTGACCCTTGACCTTCAGACCAGAGCGTTCGTGGTCGAGAGAAGGAGACCATGTCCCTTACTCGTATCTGCCTTTGGTCAGGGACCGAGAGCTGCATAGGTGGGTCTTCTCGTGGAGTTGGAAGTGAATGTCGTGGGAATGACATGTGATATTGAGGATAGGGAGGGAGAAGGAGGGGGGAGGGAGGGAGAGGGAGGGGGAAAGAGTGTGAGAGGGGAGGGAGGGAGAGGGAGAGAGAGAGTGAAAGTGTGTGTGTGTGTGTTGGTGTGTGTTGTGTGTGTGTGTGTGTGTGTGTGTGTGTGTGTGTGTGTGTGTGTGTGGTGTGTGTGTGTGTGTGTGTGTGTGTACAGAGAGAGAGAGAGAGAGAGAGAGAGAGAGAGAGAGAGAGAGAGAGAGAGGAGAGAGAGAAGAGGAGAGAGAGAGAGAGAGAGAGAGAAAGAGAGAGAGAGAGAGGAGAGAACAACAATCATAGAGACAAAATATAGAATGAGAATACGAGAAAGAAAAATAACTTTCCGATATACTTGCATCCTAAAGCCAATGCTCAACTACCCACAGGATTAAGATTCGCCTTGCTGGGATTAAGGTCGGCCTCCTCCACCTTCTGACGTCGATGGAGGTGAGAGAGAGCCCCTCCTCCATCTACCCAGTGCCCCTCGACCCCAAAGTCCTCACCCTCCAGCCCAAGGACGGCATCTACGTGGACCTCAAGCCTCTAGAAGCTGGAATCGACGGTACCATCAAGGAAGAGATGGTTAAATACCCATCTTCAAGTTCTTATGACCAAGGGCTTGTGCGTGAGCTCGAGATGTTTTATGCTACGGAGGAATCAAATAGCGAGCTTAAAACGTCCTGAGTGTTTTTTTAATCTATAGTGCTATTTTTTCGGAAAAAGTCGATATTTTAAATATTTTATACAGAAAGTTGGATATGTTCGTGTGTGATACTGGAATGTGTGGTGTAAATGACGTTTATTTTTGTAGTTCCTAAAAAAAGTTTTTTAAATAATTTGAATTATTGTGACGTTATTCATATTTTCAATCAGACTTGTTTTATGGCATCGAATGGATGCAGAAACGTGAAATTGTCTATATTTAAAAAAAATTGTTGATAACATAACCAATTATCTCGGCAAATAAAAAAAAATCGAATCAGGAATGCTGTTACATCTGCTTAAATTCGTTTAATAAAAGTACCTTCCTTCCATACCTCTTTATATAAATTTAAAATGAGCTTATAAAAATGTAATAGTCATACGTATTGTCACTTAAAAGAGTATAAACTATCAAACCTGAGAGTTTTCTATGTCACTGCCAAATAAAAAATAAAATCCTATGTACATAAAAGTAATTGGAAATATCACTCAAAGGACAAATATTTTTGTTAGAGATTTATATTTATTTATAGTATTTATTAAATAAAGATATTATTGTTTCGCGTGTAATTTATCCATTATCATATGTGTACCTTTTTCTCATTATCAAGACTATACAGACATGAAACACTCATGCTCGGTTTTCCATATAACGAAGGCAATTAGGCAAAAACTTTCTCCATGGTACTGCTTACAAGCTCTCATTCACAAATGGCATCCCTTTATAGCGGTTCTCCGGATAATAACAACTTGTAAGGGAAAGTTAAATATGTCTTCAAACTTTGATGAATATTGATGGACAAAACCTAAATGCATTTGTATTGTATTGGTCTGTAAACATATATGAAAAAAAAGACATTTGGTTAATGAGAATGGTGAATAAAAAATATTCATTTCGATATTGCTGAATGGAACAAAACTCACATCAGTTCTTGTTTATGCTCTATAACAATGTCAAAAAAAACATAAGGAAAAATAACAAAACTTTATTTTCATTCAAAGAATTTATATTTACATTTCTATCATTTTGAGAATAAAAAGGCCTGTAAACTTTTAAAAAAACATTTATAATCACAGACTCAAATAATCCAATTAACACTAATGTTCCATCTATCAAGTAATGGAACAAATCTAACTGTTATTCCCACCAAATTTATACATATCCTCCCACTATATAATAATCCTATAGTTTAATACGAACAGGGCTGCATATGACTTGGTTATGCAGGAACTTATGTACAAATAAACACTTTGCTACACTTTTAATACCATTCTGATATACAATAAACTTTTCATAACAGTCAACACATTTCAGGAACATTTCATTTTCAGTATCAAACTACATTTCAAATCAATATTTCTCCAGTTTCTTTTAGTTAAATATCAACAAAGTGGTAACAAATGCATTTTATAAACTCTTTAATGGTTACTTTTATTGTAACACTTACATCAACCTTCCCATGTTATTTCAATTTTTATTTTTCCTTTTAGTCTCAAGAAATAAATAACATTCCAAATTTTAAAAAAAGCTACAATATATAATAGCATCTCCTTTCTTTTTTTGATTTGATATACCCAATATTTCTGTCTCAAGATTGTTAAAAACAAATTAACTAAACTAATGGTCATGTGAGTATTCAAATAACCAAACAAAAGTTCTCTACAACACTATTATATAAAAAAAAGAAAAAAAAATTACACTCTCTTCATTGCACTACACTTCAAACACTCAGAAGAGAATATACATATATATATATGTGCACAGATTAACATAACATCTGGGGGCAAGTCAAACTGTAGCATCTCAATAAAATAACATGTACCAAACTTGTTTAGTCCCTTTTAAGTTATAAAGCTACTGTGGCCTTGTGGATAACTTTGATGAACTAATGACACATAAAAATACGTTAAATGACAAGAGAAGTTCGTCTACCATAATTCTGACATAAATTTCATTTCGTGAACATCGTGAACTCTCGTTCATAAAGTAATTCATCAATAAATGTATTAATATTACTTCCAATTAAGGTAAAGATTTAGATGTTATCCCTATGTGAATAATGACAAAAAAAAGATAACATCCATATAATAAAATAATAATTATACATAAATAATGATGCCGGCCCACTCTCAAACTCCCAATCAAACAACCAGAAAATATATATTTACAAATAGTAATGTATAAATTTGGCTGCTTGTACAGTTTTAATGATTGAATGTACAATGATGATAATTATATTTCGAACTACAGTGAATGCAGTACTGATGACAAGGATGATGAATGACAATAATTATGATTATGAGATGATGATTATAAAGCTAGTGGCGATGATGACAAATGGATCTTTAAAAAAAAAAGTTTATTTCTTCTCAAATTAAAAACAAAGAAACCTCTTGAAATAAAGATCTTCCATGACCTAAAAGCAAAAAAAGAAAAAAAAAAATATATATATGGATGCACAAAGGATAAGAGTGAATGCAGTTTTAGTCTTACAATACCACTAATATATACAGTATTTGCTGTGTAGACAAACCTTTCATGTACAAATATACCTATAATCTGAAGAACCTGTCGCTTCTAATCCTTAGTATCTGGAATATGCTTTTTTTTTTTATTAGTCTGTGTAAAATACTTTGTTGCATCTGAATACTTCTGATATCTTTTAGAGACCGAGATCTCTTGACATTCAATGATCGTTTCTGAACCAAAAATAACCTTATTTGGAATATGAATCTGTAAAGACACATCCATTCTATGTCTGCAAATATGGTTATGCAATTATAATCACACATACACATCAAAATATTAAAAAACAATCAGGTGAAAGCAATGGAATGTTAAAAATGCTTCTGGAATATATAAAAAGAGGAACAACATTTTTTCAAATTTGCCTATTGTGATATACTGATATAATATGCTATGCCTATTAATATGAAATAAAATACTTAATAGTCCATACACATGATCACTGAAAATATAGTAATAATAACAATGATACAGTTTTGTCAAGAACCTCCCCCCCCCCACCCAATGATTATTAGTAATTGAACCATCAACTTAACACTATGATGACAGAGCCTGAATATTTTGTGATGTAATATTACGTAACAGTCTAGAATTTGTGGCTAGGCCTGAGCTGCATACAGCCAGCCCACCCATTGCATCACTGAATGGTTAACCAAAATAAACAAGAAACAATGCTCACGTGCATTCCAACAATTACCATGAAATATAAGCAAGAGGATACGGATATATGAACTACAGCCACAGAATGAGGCTCGATTCACAAACCTTTACTTTTCATCGTATCATCAAAACATCAAAAGGCAAAATCACGTTGTATTTGGCGCAGATGGTATCACCTCTTCACTCCTCTCCTACTGCTAAACACCACAAAGCATAAGTCTAAGAATATTTTTTTTTCTCTTTTTCTTTTTTGATAAATGGAAAAATTGAAGATAATCCTAAATACACAAACCTTGAGACTGAGCTTAAACCATGGAAAAAAACACATCACCTAATACTGCTACTCTTTTCTCAAACATTTGGCATGGAATGGCTGAAAAAGTGAAGGCGATAAAATGAAAAATGACACATCTTCATTCCGAACAATGACAACATTCAAAAATAAATCCTTCTCCAATTTTGTGACAAACAGGTACTTTGCTCAAACTCAGTGACTGACCTTTCTATTGTGAAATTAATAAATAACGTACTTCGGTATCCTAGCACTAATGAACATGCACGAGCCATTATTCCCTTTTTAGTCTTTACACACAAACCAAATCCTCAAAAGACAAGCCAACTACCCAAGCCATTGCAGATTTATTTCAAATCTTTGCCTTACCTTGCTATTAACTTCCATACAAGACCAGTTAGGAAAAGAATTGACCAAAAAACGCCGCAGATCTACAGAAGCACTCGAAAAGGCAAGCACACCATCCAGAAAGACTTCCGTGCCTATGACTTGTGCCGGCTAAGAACAGGAAGAAAGGGTATGAAACAACACTTAAGTACTAGGAGAGATACAGCCTGAACAATATCGGGGAATTTCACCTTGCAATTGGGCCTGAATCAAGTTTTTCCCAATTTGATTAAAAGAAATACAAAAATTTATGCGAGACAGGAAAACGTGTAAATGAGAAAAAAAATAAAAAAAAAAAAATTAAAAAAAAATAACAATAATAGTAGTAGTAATAACAAAAACATAGTAGTAGTGGAAAAGATTAACATTAAAATAAGAAGAGATGCAGAAGCAGTTAATATCTTGTAGTAAAGTAGTCGCAACGGCAATAGCAACAGTAATGGCAACAGTAATAATAAAAAATAATTATCATCATAAATTTAATATTGAAAGTAAGCACTACAACACTGTACAAATTATATTTCTCCTGTAAAATTAAAAAATAAATAAATAAACTAAACAGGAAATTGAACATTTTTAAGTTCTATGTCACACCAATATATTACACAGAAAAATAACAGAAAAAATTTACACAGGAAATTGACAGAAAAAATTCATGTCCCCAAAAATGTTAGCAGCTTTGGAATTAAATGCTCTACAAAACCATGAGAAAGTAAATTTATACATACATAAATATAAATATATATGTATATATACATTCATAAATATATCACTCACACATAAATACATATATACATATATATACATGCATACATTACATACATACATATACATGCTTGTTATATTATATATATATATATATATTATATATATATATATATATATATATATATATATATATATATATACATATATATATGAATGTCTATATTGTATGTATGATTGATGTATATATGTATATATGTATGTATGTATGTATGTTGTATGTATGTATGTATGATTGATATGTATATGTATGTATATATGTAAGTATGTATGTAAGTATGTATGTAAGTATGTATGTATGTTATATGATGTATGGTATGTATGTAGGTATGGATGTAGGTATGTATGTAGGTATGGATGTAGGTATGGATGTAGGTATGGATGTAGGTATGGATGTAGGTATATAAGTAGGTATGGATGTAGGTATGTATGCATGCATGCGTGCATGCATATACACATGCAAATTCTGAAAAAATACATTTCTTGTATCTCGAATGCACATGAAGTAGGAACACAGCTTGGAAAGTAAAACCTTAAATGCAATATCATAGATATGTGAAATACAATCTCTATGACACATTAGCAACAGGCTTCTTGTGTTACAATGAAGCAAAGCGTTTTCTCAAGAGAAATACCGAAGGAGACGGCATCCAATAACACTTTTGTGACTACTAACAGCTACAGGAAAATTTACCAAACTCATCCAGCCAAAGCAGTCTGTGGGTCATCACAAAAACTGGAGGTAAAGAGAGAACTAATCTTTCAAAATATACAGCATGGGTATCATATACATAAAGTGGTAACCAGTGTAATAAGATGAAAATGTACATACAAAGATTATGAATTCAGTATTCAAATAAATGGTCCCAAAGTGACTACCTCAGACAGGGATCCAAAAACAAAGCCAAAGTTGGTCCCGTATCCAAGCGCGGACGAAGGGGGTGATGTCCATAGCAGGACATTTACAATTACAGTGACTTTATGTACAATATATATATATGTATATAAAAGAAAGCAGACTAAGCATATCATAAAGAGTACATTTTTGTCTTTTTTAACGGATCCTTTTAGTGTGTGGATACAAATGCATGTATTCTGATTTCGGAGCAAACTGCGATAATTCAGTAATTCCAGTCCGAAGCTAAGGACTCGGAGGGCAAGAGCAGAAAACAATGGAGAGAAAATAGCACCTGACAGTGATTCACGGCTTCTCCACTTCATTTCTCATCTGTCCAAAAAGAAAGAAGAGAAAATTGTAATTCATACATTAATAAATATTACATAAACATTTAATTTAATGGAAATAAATATCATCAGTGTATCACAAAATTAAATGGATATTTTACAAAACCTTTTGTATATATAACTCACATACACACATATATAAATACACATACTATATATACATATTTACATATAAGTATACATGTGTTTAGATGCGTGTGCATGTGTTTCCTTTGCACATGTGAGTGCATGCATGTGCATATTCTAATTCTTTACATAGTCATCAGGTTTTTGTCTGTTGAAGTATAATCAGGATTATTCAATGAGTTACACTGGTTATAACTACTAAATACTCTACAATTTAACCGATCCACAGACGAGAACTTCTACAATTGTGAAAACCAACTGTCTGTGTTCACCATTAACCCATTTACAACGGGTGTCCACATATCAGACACCCGGAAAAATAAACATTGCCAGGTCATTGTCAGTGTGACGGATTGGTGCTTGCGCTCCAATTCTGTCATGGGTCACGGCCAGCCCAGCGCGCCGATTTTGAAGCCGCTAGAAACTATTATTTTTGGCTTCAACATAAACCGGTGCTAGTGGGTTAATGTGCTTCACTTAACAACAGGCTTTTAAATTTTGAAAAAAAAAGTCACAACTTACTACCCACAAGACATGAAAGAAGACCCTCAAATCACCTTTTGGAAGAAAATATCTTTTGGTAATCTAATAAAAGTCCTTCGATAACGCGATTATGAAGCATCACATCTGTCATGAGGTCTTGGGCATTGGTGATTTTCGGCCAGAGCAGGCACGGACCGAACACGATGGCCAAGTTTGATATACTCATCCGATTCTCACTCTCGTATTCGCTAACTCTGTTACAAGGAAAGAAAGTTTTTGTCATAATCACTGGGAAAGTCAAGAGATATCCTAATAATTCTTGCATTAAGATAAAAATTCAAATTTGAAGAAAAAAGAAAGAGCAATAAAACGTATGACATACAATTTACAGATGGTTATAGGATAAAGGATATAAAACTCAGCATGGAAATACATGTTCAAATATAAATCTTACCTTAACAAATGCTGCAACAAGACTCTCATGGTATCGTAGTTTTCCACAGGAAGCTGCCGCACTGCTTTCGTTAACTTTTCAACCTGTTGGTTCTTTTTCCGGTACTCTGAAAGTAAAATTCAAATTTCAAATTCAAATGCTCCAAAAAAATCAAAGATGACCAACTTATTCCTTCTCAAGCTTTGTTAAATAATGTCCATATACCTCAATTTACTGCAACCCTACATCAAATAATACAAAAGTAAACATTCCGGAAACAAAAACACGTAGCAACAGGTGGGCCGAGGGATAGCCTCTTTTCATAACATGCAAATCCAGGAAACAAGTACAATTTCTATTGTGCTTTAGAACCTAAAATCAAGTCCTTTAATTGTACCTGAAAGGGGAGGGGGCTACCAGTATGGCATGTGGTGGAAGCTAACTACGGGGTTTTACTTTGGTCTACGAATGATAAAAAGAGAACAATAAAAATCTGACACATAATGCAGCCTTACATGTGTGTTGCAAGCTACATACTTACAAGGATATAGGTATAGGAAAATGCCCCCACATCATTAAAAAAAGCAAACGTTACTGACCCCATCTCTTATCAGTACACGAAATAGTACCACTACATCACACAAATAAAACTACTATCTCCGACACTTGCACTTTTTACTGACGCAAGATTTACTTCACCAATAGCATGCATGATCATCACTTATCCCCTTCCCTTTTTGACACAGATATTCCAAACATGAAAGTTATCTACTTAATAAATTGACTAACAGCAATCTTGACTTTTCATCGTGAATGAAACTTACCACTCCCGGATTCACCCTTAAAAGGAGAGCATGAAAAAAGAAATTATCAACGTCATTGATACACTGCAAACAAAGCAAGTAGGGGGGAAAAAAGGATCTTAAAGTCTCAATCCTTTTCTCGACCTAATAAAAACAAGCAGAAGCCCTCAAAAGACTACCATACCAGAGCCTGTTGCTTGAATGAAGTCCTGGTAATTGGCAAAGGGAATGAGGGGTTCCTTGAGCTCCCTGAAGAAGAGTTTGAGAGCCCCCGACAGGTTGTGTACTTCCTTCTCCCTGCTCAAGATGGTATAGTTCCTTTGCGCTACCTGCAAGTGCAATAACAGGCATGATCCATTAAGTAAAGTTGGGCAAGTTATAGAAGATATACTGCTTCTTCCGATACCAACAAAATAAAACCGTCCTTTAAATATTCACTTTTTCAATAATTATCATAAAAATAAAACTGTTGCCTTCAATCAAACATCACATACTGAGAGAGAGAGAGAGAGAGAGGAAAACAATCGCACAAAAAACCTCACCTCGTATCGAATTTTCTGGATCTGAGCAGCGTTACCAGATATCCTATACAGGCCATCAGTACGGAGATTCTCAACAGACTTTTCTATGTGATTGATACACTGGAGGACAAATATTGGTATCGCGGTCTTGTCTTGTAGGTGCAACTCTGATAATGTGCTACCAAAAACAGCCTCTGTTGATGAAATGATTCAGTAAAAATTTTCCCATAATGTTAGACAAACACATATTCAAGTTGACTGGAAACAGAAAATTCCTTTTCATTCTTTAATAAATGTATAAATATTTCCTGTTTCTACCCTATGGTAAGAAATCAAGGAACGCTCACCCACACAAGTACACACAAATACTACATTGTACTAGAGCATAAGAATCACACACACAAAGTAACATTTTTAGATATCACTCTAATGATAAAAAATTGATAATAGAGTGATGGTGCAACATATTTTCTTTCCCTTTCTAGCTTTCAAATCCAAAAATATCCTGATTTGGTAATGAACAACATAAAAACAAATATATATATATATATATATATATATATATATATATATATATATATATATATATATATATATATATATATGTATATATATATACTTATAACTATAGATATGAATAAAGATACAGAGATAGATATGGATACATCATCTTTCCCTTTCCTCCCTTAGAGAGAAAAACATTTATTTTACCTTTATAAATCCCTTTCTTTTCCAGCGTCTCCTTCAGCGGCCGTCTTTTGATGAAGTTCAGTAATTTATCAGTGATGCCCTTGCTGTCTGGAGCAAGTTGTTCAATACTGGCAGCCCGTTTCACTGGTGATGAGAGATAAAGTGTCAAAAATAGAAAACTGTATTCCCATTTCAGAGATCATCCTATCTCCAATCAAAATAATAACTTAACTTGTTGCAGCTCCTTTCTCTTCTACTCCAAATTTTTTATATTACCAACACTACAGAATAACAACTATGACCTTAATAACTATTCTAACACTATTAATGAGAAAAATGAAAACTAATAAAAACTAAGAATGCAGTAAAACAATAACCACAATAACCAAACCACTGACTTGTACGTATACATCTTCAATATAAACCCAAATACCCCCAACAAACAAATGACTCCCGCCAACCAAAGGAAGTATCAAATTAAGTGGCGTGTGAATCAGCACAGCCAGAAACTATTAGTAAGAGAGGGGAGTTCCTAGAATTCACTGCCTATTCATTTCCTACGAGCAAGATAGGACGGTTACATCAGGGCATAAAGGCCGAAAATTTCTAAACTATTAATAAAGGTTTTGATGAGCTTTGGAGAGCAATGTAGTCTATACCCTATTTGGTGGTGAGCTTGTACTTATCATCTTTATCCTTTATCATTCTGAATGCCACACTTTTCCTGTTTCCTTTAAAAAATGTAATACAGTCCGCTAAGCCCATAAAATCATGAAGGGGGGGGGAGCAAACATAAACTCCCTTACTTTTCTCTGAGCCTTTCTTCCCTTTCTTTTCCTCCTTCTCTGCCACTGATGCCATATTCTGCTGCATCCCATCCTAGTAAAAAAAAATCATAAATTAAACATCAGTAAAATAAAAACAAACAAATAAAATCAAAATACATACATACATTTATACATGGATATATGCATACATTTATGCATATATATACACACACATATATCATAGACACAAACAAACACACATACACATACACAAGGCCAAACACATGCAAACTTGCCTGCATAAGGCCGCCCACATACAAACATACACTTGGGTGCACATACAGACACATACAAATAACAAATACTTTAATCAAGTCACAAAAATAACTACAACCACCCACTCACATGATCAACCAGAACTTTGTGCCATTCATTTTCAATGTCTCGATCTTCAAACTGAAGCAGTACTTCTGTGTCGTGGCCATTGCGCAATGCAATGACTTGCTGCCTACTTGTTTTCTTGTCATTAGAAAGGTCCAAGGAACACGGTGGAATAAAATCAAATATTTCAGCTTTCTGTAAAATATAAAGAAAATATATATCAAGTAAAAAAATCAATAAACAATATGTTATTCTTAAAATTAATATCACACTTTTTCAGTCAATCATCCACATCTATTGCCAAAGTAATAACCCTAACCACCACTTCTAGTAGGGTAAAATCAACAATTATCTTACCTTGTCATCATCCTTCGTCTTTGAGAAGTGTATAAGTCCTTGTGATCCAGAATTGAAAGAACTGACAATGTAACGCGCATAGGAGGAGGTCCAATTTTTGCGCACCTTCTTTCCCTCTTTCAGAATGAACGTTCTCTGCAGGAATCCTTCTTTGACAATGTTCTTACTTAGCTCAGCCTGTAGAGGAAATGAACTTTGTAATTTTGCATATATAAAAATACCTACTCAGTGTAAATCTTCCAAATCTTAACTAAAATAATACCACACAAGTAATAAAAAGAGAAAGAGGAAAAATGTTCACTTTAACTTCCTATACCTACCAAGTTTTCAGTAACCAAGGAGACTCGTTGGCTCTCCAGAGTTGACGTCTGTTGGCCATCCCTTATGTCAAACTCATCAAAGGAATCAAGCTGAAAATTGGAGAAAAAAATGACTGCTTCATCCCAATCAACCAGAAAAAAAATATGCACACATATATATACATATATATGTGTATATATTTTTTTGCCAACTATTCCTACAAACAGCTTTTCCATTCCTTCACCTGTACTTTATCATCTGTTGTAATGGACTTTTCTATTACTTCTAAGAACAAGCTTATCCACTTTGAAATCAATAGCCAAAAGCCATACTCCATCCCTTGAGGAGTGACCACATGCACAGAGAAATGCCCATTTCCTTCTGTCCTTAAAGCCGTAAATGGTATTAAATGTAAAAGTAATAAGCAATAAATAGTAAACTTACAGTAGATACAGTAAGATATCCTTCAGCCATGTTTCCATCACCATGAAGCACAAAAGAAAGGAAGAGTAAAGCAAACATGAATTCTAAGTTGCTGTAGCGTCTTAGCCTGCTAATGCTCGTCTAAGTTCAAGTGTTATAACAAAGGTACCCATTACATACATACAGTACATTAAATTTTAACAACTGAGTGTAAGCAGTTTGCTAAAGTAGTAATTCTACATCCAGCAAAAGTAACCAAGTTGTAAGGTTATTAACAAGTCTTAGACAATATACCCATACAAATTACAAACTACAAACTGGAGGTGGCCTTGGCAGTCATATCATACCTAAGGTCACTGATGAGCAAGAATGATATCAAATATGAATTGCTTGGTTGTATTTATGGCAACCAAACTTAATAACATCTCCCCTTCTTTAAAAATTCCTTACAACTTTACAAATATGCAAAAATAGTTTTTAATGAAAGGAAAGCATTTACTCTTTTTAATAAATCCTAACTACTTCATTTTCCAATAGGAACAATGAATCATTTTGCTTCTAAAATCATTCTCATCCTCTTCTACACTATAATGCCTAGCAATGAGTCTTTCAATTTCTAATCTTGATCCAGAAAAAACACCACAGAAAATGATAATGGAGACAAAAAAGGGGGAAACAAACAAAAAGTATATAGCAAGCTACCCTAAATTTAAGCTCCTCCATAAACCCAGCAACATTATTCTTCAAAGGCCTTTCCTCTCCACCGCATTTGTACATCAAGCTTGGAAATACATAGGTTCCCTTAGATATATGCAGACAGCATAATAACTGTAGCAGCAAAATTCCTATTTGGCAATTCGTACACCTGCCAATCTACCATTTACAAATCTGATCCCACCTACACCTTTAATAATGTATTCAGATGCAAGCCAACTAAAAGATGGACAATCTCAAGTTTAAGAATAAAAATAAATTCATTGCAATATTTGAAACATTCGAACACCACCTCTGCAAGTGCTCAATGCATGCAAAACTGAACTTCATGATTTCAAGTTCAGAATACCTTAATGGAGAATGGAAATTAATATTCAAATATGAATTGCCTTGCTATCCGTTTTCCATCCACATACATCTTATGATTTGTGCATGCCCCTCCCACACCAAAGATCAAAATCAACGCACACATCTCAAGTGGTCAGGGCAAGACATACCTCAGGTAGCTTCCACTGACTCCTACTGCCATTCTCCTCATAGTAATAAATCTTCCCATCATCATTGTTAGTTGCGAGCCACTGTAAAGAAAGACCAGTGTTAGTTTGAGAAAGGGTCGCTTACGTCTTTGAAAATTCACTGTCTCATCATTTTTCTTTCTGAGTTAGTTAATATTTTGTCCTATAAATTCTTTTAATCACACTATTTGTCAAACTGTCAATTAATTATGCTCATAGAAAGGAGCAATATAAATATTCAAAGTCTTAATTCTAAATGGCAACTACAGAATCACGTAGAAGTTAAGGACAATTATTAATTTGTTTTGCAAGTCACGTGCTAATGAAACGTGTGGAAGCATTGCAAAGATAGTCCTAGTTAGTCAAGTTAAAGATATGAAGCGGCTACATCATCGTTAGTTTTTACAGAATAATCATTCAAATCATCAAAGAATATATACATCATAGTTTTGCAAGAACATTTTCTTTTTTATCAAATCAGAGCGGCTGCTGAAGATCTGTGAAATTTTGACTTAAAAACACATCTCATAAAGAAAATAAGTCACCTAAAATACTGTCTGTCAAATCAATATAAGTATCAGATGCTACTAACATTAGAAATCCACATATCTATCGCCTTTCTCAGTGTAGCATTCAGATAAAACATCATCTAAGTCATCATACCAAACTCAATGTGCTTATCCAATGGTTACTGAACAATATGTATAATAATGGTATATACCACCGAACACATTTTAAAATCCTATGTTTTCCTATACTGATATGCCTAAAACAGACAGACATACATAGTTATAAAGAAAGGGGCAGACATAAAATGACAATGCAGAATAAAAAAAAATCTGACTTCTGCTTTATTCAACCACATCACACAAAGTAGAAATGTCTTCCTCTTGATGACTGGGACCCCTTTCCCCATCCAATCCAATCAGAGAACACCTACTTAATTCCATATCATATTGTAGTGCTGGATAGCAGACGCTTCACTTTGAACAAGCAGTAAAGTTTTAAGTTGTATCATAATTCGCATGTGACAACCCTAGCAGAAAATTCTGCCTGGTGCACGGAAAGTCACTGGCAGTGTCCATGCTATACCTAGAGTTGCATCCAGCTCACTCAATTTAAACTCCACTAACTTCACTCTAGAACATTATGCTACTGTCTACAAAATTCTTAATTACTTAAATAAATATCTGCACAAAATACAGGTCATGATATGAAGTGGACATTTTAAGTCTCTCGGAGAGTTTCTTTGAAAACTTCTGAAAAAATAATGAGTATCAATTCAATCTCTTATGAAAATATTTAATTGTTTAAGTTATCTTCAATACATACTATATACTTCATAGAAGGCAGTGATTTAGACCAGCTAAATTATAATCATTCTATACAGTTTTGCAAAAAGCTGAAGCATTAAGTTATTAGTTACTTAGTAGCAATATGCTGAAGATCAAATTCGGAAATAAGCTAATGTATACTTAAAAGGTACTTTTTCCATCCATTTTGCTCTTTTGAGAAAAAAATAATAGTGCAATCAGGTTAGGAATTCGAGTCAGAGATTCATAGATCAATAAATAATATTGTAAATTACAGGGTTACCTTGGCTTAGATACCTCAGAAACTTTAAAAATACAGGCGGTATGCCAACTTCTGTAACTCCATTCTGAAATTACTAGCGTGCAGCATTTGTCAGGCGTTGTATAGACATGTTCATGGGGAATCTACCAAATTTGAACCATTAAAGTTATATTAGTTCATTCTTTAAACTTAATATTATTTAATCAGAAAAAAGTAGGTTCAAAATTGTTAAATTCACAAGTGCTAAATCTTTGAACTACCTTCTCAGAGTCAAGAGATCTCTTCAATTCCTTGTAGTGATCACTTCCAATCCCCAGACAAGGCAGGGTAGACGTCGATCCCTCTGTATCATCACTAAATGTGGATTCCTCCCTGTCAGAGTGTGTCCCAGAGCCATTATCTGGACTTAAGCAACGGGGGGACGGTGCGAAGAACCGCCTGGCACCCTGGCCAGAGGCGTCGTCCTCAGTGCCAAGCGCACGAGCACTTGCCTCACCACTCTCACTGGTGAGTGGCTTATCCTCTAGTATGGAGTCCTCTTCATCATGACTTATGAACATGGACTTCCTTACCTGAGATTTTGCAGAAAAACACGAATGAGGTTTGTTGTTATCTCCTTCCTACCGCATGAACTTTTAAAAGACACATCTTCTCTTAGCTGCTTGCTACTGGCATCTATATTTTGAGAAATATTATCTCTACTTTTGCAACTGTTGTCATTTAATCGCACTCGACACATGCTGGTGGCAAGTTCTTTCACAATTTGGTCATACTGATCTTTCGCAACTGGACTTATGTTTCCATCTAACAAATTTCCTTCACTCTTTCTCTTAGGCTGGTTAAAGTCTAACTCTAAATACTTCTTTCCCCTGCCCGTGTTTGCATGACGCAGGAGGAGGGAGTCTGGCTGAGGAGAATCAAGCACCGTCTTCTTTTCCTCCTTACTTCTGCTTATTCCTTCTTTGATATTGTCCAGCTTCAGATGACTGGTAGATTTATCACGTGTTTGCTGGTCTCTTTCTAAGTATCCAACAGGAGATCTCGGTGGGGTTGGAGTTTTTGGTCGGATTGAACTTGGAATCAGTGATGGATTTGTTAATTGACTTTGATCGCCTGTCTTGCTTGGAATTCAGCTTTTCAGCTTTCAATGACTGATCACTAGTTTCCCGTAAAGCTGGTTTGTCCAGTTTCACACTCTCTGACTTACTCCTGGTATGTCCACGTGGTCTGGAAAAGCTTGAATTGTGACCAAATGTTGACATTCTTAGACCAGCTTCTGTTACTGAGGGCGTATCTGGTGGCGTCATAATGATACGAGCTGGACTGTTTGGGTGAGTTGGCGAAGATATGGCTATGACATCTGGGTCTTTGGAAGCTTGTGGGACGGTTGCACTGAGAGCTTTGATTTCCGAGGAGGCTTCTGTGGTGGGTCTCTTCTCTCTGATAATTTTCTCTGTTCAGCTGGATTTGCTTCCTTTGCATTTTCTGCTGCATTGCATTCTCTGCATCCTGGACTCCCTCACACTGTATTTCCGATGAACTGATCTGCCCTTCCACTGGACTGGGAGACTGGACTTCATACTGGAGGTCCTTTGACAAGTCCATAGTGCTCTGGTAACTTTTGCAAATGTATTCTTTGTCCTCCAGACTGGGTATGTCCACCTCGGTCACCCATGAAAATTTTTTAGGCTGGAAAACCACATGTTCCATCAAAGTAATTTTTTCATGACCATTACTCATGATCTTTTTATATAAAATTAACTTGATTCACCTGCAATTAACTTTCAAGAAAGCAAAAATGCTGTGCATGCAAAAATTCTCTCATATGTTTTTCAAGTTTTCAAAACAACTGATAAAAATAATCAGCACACTGTAAATTTGTTGAAAATTCCAACACCACAATGATTCACTCTCATCTCCACACCAAGGATCGCTGGCTATGTTGGGTGCAAAATGCCTGAAACACGGATACAGCAACGGGCGTTCACAGGCATGTGTGAGGTATGGAGGCTGAGAGAGAAACAAGGTTGTTGTGGTGTGAGAGACTCAGTAATCCTAGCAGCACACCACCTCCTGGGACTGGTCAGGATGTAGACAATAAGATCTCTCACCCAACACCGCCTCCTCCACGCAGGATAAAGTGCACTGCCACACTGTGCCAATATCGAGCATCCCCCAATCAGATGAATGCCCCAGTTCTTGGATCTATGGTAACTGAATATTCTGTAGTGTTAGGCAGTTGTTTTTTTATTATCCACTTGACAGGATACAGCTTACTCATGGTAGCAAAACAGGATATGACTTCCTCCCCAGGTTGAGCTGCCCAGTTTCCCAAATTTCTTCAGACAGTATTCCAAAATTACCTACCTGACATAACGCCATTAATATTTCTTCTTGATAGTAGTTCAAATTTTCCTTGAACAACAAACAGTGTATTCAACAACAATATCATATGCTTTAGGCAATAGTACATCTATAAACCACTGGTGAACGCTAACTTTTGGTGTGGTTTGGTTCACCCTTGTATCTCCGATTAAGGGAGATAATGTTATAGCTCCCGGAAAGCGCATAATTACACCTCCACAAAAGCAATTAATGACTATTAATTTTCTGTACATGATAACACTCATCCTTCAATCAGCATGTGATCAATCTATTACATGATGTTATGTACAGGAGAAAAGAAAAAGAAAAAAAGGGAAAAAAAAAAAAAAAAAAAAAAGCAAAGACACTTACACACAAAATATGCAAGAACATACACCCAACCATCATCACTCACACACAGACACATACAGACACACATGTACGCAAACACACACACACACATGTATGCACACAGACACAGACACACACACACACCACACACACACACACACACACACACACACACACACACACACACACACAACACACACACTCACATGCGCACACACGCACACACACGCGCACACAAATGCACACACACGCACAAATGCACACACACGCACAAATGCACACACACGCAACAAATGCACACACACAAATGCACACACGCACACAAATGCAAACACAAATGCACACACGCACACAAATGCACACACGCACACAAATGCACACGACACACGCACAAATGCACACACGCACACAAATGCACACACCACAAATGCACGCAAATGCACATACATATGCACGCGCAATGCATACGTACATGCACACACAAAACACACATATGCACACATGCATATACACGCACATACACACACACACACATAAACACCATACACACACACAACACACACACACACACACATACAAAACACACAACAACACAACCACACACACACACCCACACACACACACACACAACACACACACACACACACACACACAACAACACACACACACACACACACACACACACACACACACAACACACACACACACACATAAACACATACACACACACACACACACACACACACACACACACACACACACACACACACACACACACATATGCAAACACACACACACACACACACACACACACACACACACACACACACACACACACACACACACACACACACACACACACACACACACACACACACACACACACACACAACATAAGCTTGCACAGGCACAGGCACACCCTTACACATGTAAATACATGCACACAGGCACATATTCATGTAGACAGGCACATACACAAGTGCACACAAGCATACACACGCACACAGTCACATATTCATGTAGGCAGGTACATACATAAGTGCACTCAAATATACACATGCATACAGGCTTACTTTCAAGTAGACAGGCATGCAACTCACGATGTGTGCCCCTATCTCAACGCTTTCTCAGGCCCTAAATAAGAACTAGGTAATGCTCACTTCCCAAATCTCCCTGTCCACATGTAAGAATAAGCACAAGCACACACACAAGCACACAAAATACGCATGTATAGGCACATACACACCCTTACAATGTAAACACACTCACACAGGCACACAAACATACACATGCATACAGGAATACATTCAAGTAGACAGGCTTGCACTCACGATGTGTGCCCCTATCTTAACTCTTACTCAGGCCTTAATTAAGAACTAGGTAACGCTCACCTCCAAAAATCTCACTGTACTGTACTCAAATGAACCCTTCTCCCTCTCACTTTCTCCCTTACTCACACTTTATTCTTAATTTCTTCTCTTACACTTACCCTCTTTCCATTCACATGTACTCAACATCTACTTCTCTCTCTCTCTCTTTCTCTTTCCCCCTTTTTTATTTATTTATTTCTTCATTTTTAAATTACACTCATTCATACTGACTGATATCCTTGTTCTTACTCTTTCTCCCTGTACAGAATTTTCTTTGAAATGTCTTAAAAATTTAAAAAGAAAGATTTAAGAGCTCTCTCATACAAAACAATTTACCCACAATTAATACATTGGTCTTAGACAACTTTATCCTCTGTACTTCTTATTAATTACTCAGATCTACAGAAATCTGTTAAAACTGTAATTATTATTCAACACATTATGCATCACATGAAATCACTGATTTATCAACGACAAGGGAAAACTGGTGAAACAAATAAGTAAACAGACTGACTTAGTTGAATTAACAAACACAATACAAATAAAGCTATTAAACAATACAAGAAAAAAGTTTTGTACTTACTCTCTCTCCCGTGACCTTATTACAGAAATAAACCCTCTGCGTGACGTTGTCAAAATTCTTGCTCCAGCCTCTGGGCGGGCTCATCTTGTATAGCGTGTCCAGCAGGGCAATGTTCTGGTCATCTGGGACATCTGGGGTGGTGGGGGTGGTAGGGGTGTTTGGCAATGTAGGTTTGGCACTGCTGGGCGGGACAAGGGGAGGGAGGATGTTCCTGGACGACTGGGAGAATAAGGGTAACGTGTGTGATGTCGCCAGAACTTGGTGGTGAATGTGTATGTTGGATGAAGAGGTGTGAGTCAGTGTGGATGAGTGGCCAAAGCCAAGGTATCCCCCACTGCCGCTTTCGGCAAGGTAGCGTAGGACCTCGGCATCTGGGAGAGCTTGGGGGATGCAGGGTAGTCAATAGGGGGGCTCCTAGTCTGCCCCCTGCCGAGACTCCCTCCCCGGTTCTCTTGTCTGGCATGCGGAGGTACCTTTCCAAAACACAAGAAAGGGAATATCAGGGTACGTTGAGGATCATTTATGTTGTACTCATTTTTCTTATTATTTCCCACACAAAACCTTATAAATGAGGTCCAGATAGGTACTTATTATGAGATATTACATATGATGTAAGGTGGGTTGACAAGATAAAATTACTTGCAAAGAAACCATACAATTTGCAAGAGTAAAATACTGAAAAGAAAAGAAAAGTGACCTCTACATATTTCTACACTCATAACAGTAATCATATAATTCCATACCTACAGAATGAAACATTACTTCTTAGCCAAATTCAAGCAGGATGTACCACACAAGCTATACATAAAATAGACTGGGATGGAAAAGTGAAATAAAACAGCATATTTCCCATATATGTACTAAAAAATGTAGCCTAAAACGGAGAAAAAATACATTCATATCAACCTTGCAAAATATATTTTTTTTAATCCAAAGAACATGACCAATTCA